ATATTTTAAATCATCTCTGTAATGTTTTTAAAGCAAAAACTTTTCTTTTCGTGATGTACGTAATGATTAAGTGTAACAAACCTTATGTTTTCATTAATAACGTAATGTTTTTAGTGTTACAAACCTTTCTTAAGTCTTCATATAAGATTAAATTTTCCGGAGACGCATACACAGCGGCCCCTGAGGGATACAGTTCATTTCTAAACAGCTTCTTAGGTACTTCCACCACTGTTCCTTTCAAACCTATATCTGAATTATACAAAAATAACATTAAGAGAATAGGCACTAAATGTGGAACATACAGAGAAAATACAGCAATTAATATATTTCAATCTTAGCCCTATTTTTCTGACCAATGAGATTTTTCCTGAAAATTTTTGACGGTTCATTTCATGTAAACTGTTCTCTACAAACCTTTTATGTACATACTGCCTCCATCTGGATAAACAAATTGCATGCCCAGGAAAATTATGTCAATAACCAAGTTTATTAGAGGCTTATAAGAGAAAATTAAACATCTTAAAGAGCTACAGTTGCTCTCTTTTTGAGATGTTTCAGTTGTTTAATATTTTCTGAATATCATTCTTCTTAAGTTTCATCAATGTGGTTTTCTTGTGGTGACTAAAAATTGTAATTGCATATTGAAGCCCAATTTGCTTAAGAAATGCTTTTATTTTTACTTCTCAAAGGCTTTATATTTTTGGTGCACTTTTATAGTTTCCAAAAAGTTACTCATTGGTTTATACAGAATTTATTTTAGTTTGATTGTGTAGGAAGCTATAAGCTTATAGACACATTTTTGAATCCGTTCATGGAACTAACCAGTACTGAGCAATGAGTGTAAAATTGAACCCATGCGACTAGCGATCATTAGATTACTAGTCCGACGCATTAACCACTTGGCCATGCCGCCACTTGTTACTCATTGACTATTTACCTGAACCATCTTTTTCTTCTGTTGCTTTTTGGCAATCAATACAATCATGGCGATTGAATATTTTGTATGGCTGTCAAAATACCACTTCAAAGTTTGTTACCAATTACCTACCAATTACCTACTTTTGTGACAAATTTGTTCGCAGTTAGTGCTACTTTCTTCAGGTAACAAGCATTTAACATGCTATAAGACCATAATTTAATTTTTATAAAACTCATGTTTTCCCTTTCTGAAGTAGTAAAGTTTTTATTTGTTTCTGATGCATAATGTGCCTTTAAAAATATGTTGAATTTACATAGTAAGCTTGGCTACGATATGTCAAACTTACCTGTGATTTCTTTAGTTAAAATACATTTTATGGTGGATTTGTAATCACCAGGATGCTTTAATTTATCAAGTAAATAATGCTTCTTTTTCAAAAGTGGATATTTTCCTACAGCAACCAGGCCAATCTTGTGTTTTCTTTCAAATACAGCAGTTGCAGGATTCTCGAAAAACTGTAATACAAAATACAAAGTTGAGATAGAAAATACATGAGCCGCGTCACGACAAAACCAACAAAATGGGTTTGCGACCAGCATGGATCCAGACCAGCCTGCGCATCCGCGCAGTCTGATCAGGATCCATGCTGTTCGCTTACCAACTCTATTACAAGTAGAGAAACTGATAGCGAACAGCATGGATCCTGATCAGACTGCGCGGATGCGCAGGCTGGTCTGGATCCATACTGGTCACAAACCCACTATGTTGGTTTTGTCATTACGCGGCTCACATTGTCATTGGGGGATACTGAAAGAGTGCATACTTAATACTAAATTTATTGAACAAGTTGAATAAAATCTTATTAGGGAAGCCTCTAAGGATTTCAATAAATATAATATTCTATTTATCACCTCCATAATAAGAACAGTTTACAGTTAGAAACAGTCATTTTTTTCATTGACGCCCTATAATCAATGCTATGTATAAAACACTAATGATGTCACTTCCAATTGTTATTACAGTATTAGTATATTATTTTTATTACACTCCTGCACAGCTTTTTACTAACATTGCGTAAGTTTTTCATAACTTTAAGCTTATGTTTAAACTTATGTAAATCGTGTGTTTTCCAAAACGTTCGTAACTTTTTCTTAAACTTACATAATAATAGTGCGTAACTCTTCACAGAAGGTTTAAAAAATAAGTAAATATGGAGGCGTTTTGGTAATATTTAATGACCACAAAACATTTTTAAACTAGAAATGTGTCCATAGGACACAGGTGCCCCCACACGCCACTGTTCTGTCAATCTAATGACTCTAGGTCAAATATTTTTTGGGATACATGTGGCACAAGTTGAAAAGTAAAAATCTTTTACTAAATCATGGGCAATAACTTTACAAATACTGAATAAAACCACAAGCAAACACCATGATGCATAATTACACATGCTGACCAACAACATTTTTGTAAACTTTCAGGCCTACAAATCAAATACTTTTTGAGCTATGCATGAACAAGTTGAAAATTGCAAATTTATACTACTGTAAGTCAAGGGCAATAACTCTAACAAAACAGAAAAAAATTCCACATGCAAAGTCCCAGGTGCATAGCTTCACAGTGATGTTGATCATTATTCCTGTAATGTAGTGATGTTGATCATTATTCTTGTAAAATTGGTTGATTCTAACTCAAGCACTCAAGGAACAAATAACAAAATATAATGAAACGGTTTTTACTAAGTCAAGGGAAATAACTCTACAAATACTAGATAAATCCACAAGCAAAACCCAAGGTTGACAACTACATATGCTGCGCAACCTTCCCGTAAGGTCTAATGACTCTATGTCAAATCCTTTTTGAGTTACATGCGACACAACTTGAAAATTGCAAAAAATTTCTAAGTCAAAGGCAATAACTCTAAAAATACTAATTAAATAAATGCAGATGAAAATACCCAGGTGCACAACTACACATGCTGATCAACATTCCTGTAAAGTTTCATGACTCTAGGTCAAATACTTTTTGAGTTACATGCGACACAAGTTGAAAATTGCAAATTTTTACTAAGTCAAGGGCAATAACTCTAAAATACTAAATAAATCCACACGAAAATACCCAGGTGCACAACTGCACATGCTGATCAACATTCCTGTTAAGTTTCTCTAGGTCAAATACTTTTTGAGTTACGTGCGACACAAAAGAGAACGGACGGACGGACGGACGGACGGACAAGGGTAAATCTAAATGCCCGCCACTAAAGTGGGGGCACAAAAAAGGCTAAATTGGAACAGTACTGGTATTTAGTAGAGTCATCTACAGTTACTCAGGAATGTTGCTGGGCAATTGGTATTTATAAGTGCATATTATTTCAACTGCCATCTATCACACAGGGGTTTCTCGCGATTTTAAATAAATGCATTTATAGAGTAGAAAGGAAAACCCTACATCTATATGATTCATCATGGAAGATATTTAAAGGGTTTTTGTTTGTTTTGAGAAGTGAAAAATCTGTAATGTCTGTTAGTGAAAATGTGGACTTTTTTCTCATTTTTATATTATTCAAGTAACCCACAATTTTTAAAATATTTTTTTCTATTTATTTATCTTTATTTTTTTATCTAGTTAAGTTAAGAAAACCCCTTGATTTTTAACGACTTTACACTAAAACTTGGGAAAAACATGCGTAAAAAAAGACGACACAAAAACGCCACATGCAAACAAAAGATATTAAAGATTTAAGTCACCATTGCAGTTTTTTTGTGAAGTAATGATACCTGAATATTTGCCATAAAAAATAAGTGCAACAGATAATTTTATGTACATTTGCAAATCATACAATTTAATGAACATGTAAAATCACCATTTTGAGATACTTTCCTATTCCGTCTTCATTTACTTGATATAGTATAAAACAAATGAAATTTACTGAGTTTCAGTAAATATTATATGTCATTTATAAAATTCTTAATAAATCAGCATCAAAAGCTCATGAAAATAAAATAAAACTAGAACTGTGTCCAAAGGTCACACGGATGCCCCCAGGTATATAGTGAAAAAATCAACAAAGGGCCATAATTCACTTAAATTTGGTCGCAGCAAAAATTCCTTCCTTTACTGCCATCTACACATTAAGGTTGTTCATCCCTGGAAGTTTAAGCAAAATCTGCCATCCGGTTTAAGAGGAGTTGCGTTCAAAAATTTCTATATGGTATATAGTGAAAAAATCAACAAAGGGCCATAATTCACTTAAATTTGGTCGCAGCAAAAATTCCTTCCTTTACTACCATCTACACATTAAGGTTGATAATCCCTGAAAGTTTAAGCAAAATCTGCCATCCGATTTAAGAGGAGTTGCGTTCACAAAATTTCTATGTGGTATATAGTGAAAAAATCAACAAAGGGCCATAATTCTGTTAAATTTGGTCGCAGCAAAAATTCCTTCCTTTACTACCATCTACACATTAAGGTTGATCATCCCTGGAAGTTTAAGCAAAATCTGCCATCCGGTTTAAGAGGAGTTGCGTTCAAAAATTTCTATATGGTATATAGTGAAAAAATCAACAAAGGGCCATAATTCACTTAAATTTGGTCGCAGCAAAAATTCCTTCCTTTACTACCATCTACACATTAAGGTTGATCATCCCTGAAAGTTTAAGCAAAATCTGCCATCCGATTTAAGAGGAGTTGCGTTCACAAAATTTCTATGTGGTATATAGTGAAAAAATCAACAAAGGGCCATAATTCTGTTAGATTTGGTCGCAGCAAAAATTCCTTCCTTTACTACCATCTACACATTAAGGTTGATCATCCCTGGAAGTTTAAGCAAAATCTGCCATCCGGTTTAAGAGGAGTTGCGTTCACAAGATTTTGGGACGTACGGACGGACAGACGTATGGACAGACGGACGGACGGACAAGTGCAATGCCACTTTGTGGGGGCATAATAAAACACTTAATTACTGATTTATAGTACTTTGGGTAGAGGTCAATCACGACTTAGGGCGGTATGTGATACCAGTATATTTTCTGGAGAAGAAGATAGTAATTAAAAGACTTTCATCTTTAAGCTGATAGGACGACTTGACTTCCATAATAGTATACATGTATTTTTTTTACTAAATTTAATTTTTAATAAGTCCGTAAAGCCACATTATCCTTTCCTTACTTAGACTTTACTTTTCTAGAGCCGCTTTCACCATTAAAATATCACATCCGTCTCTAAAATTCTCGCTTTCCTGCTCTGCCGTTATTCATAGATGATGTTAGTCTTACTTATGTGAGTTTTAAGTCAACAAATTTTAAGCGTAACTTTATGTAAAAACTAACGAAATTCTTACTTTCGCACATTTTTAGTAAAACGCTTTTACGTAAATAATCAGACGAAAGATATAACTTACGCAAATCTTAGGCATAAAAACGTTAGTAAAACGCTGCCCTGAGGCTTTGTTAATGTGATAAATATATTTATTTGTTATTGTATGAGAACAGACTATGTTTCACTATGTGATCATTGTACACCAGAAGCAAAAATGTATAAGACTTGAAAGGAAAAGCATAATTATATTATATCATGAATGCATGAAAATCTGAGGAAATACACTGTCTTGATTGTAAATAAAAATGTACATGATTCTTGCATGTACAAATGTACATGATCATTGCATTTTTAATGTACATTGTCCCTGCACAACAAACAAGTTAAGAACACTGTTTCATTTACAGCTTATTAACACCAACTTTTCCAATTTTAACATGTGAACTTGTGAGCACCAGCTTTTATTTTTCCAAATTAAGAATATCAGACACGGAATAAACTCTATTGTTCTCTGTTGTTCTGTTTACAATTAGATGACCCTCTAACCCTATTCGGAAGTGCATGCGGACGGACGGATGGACAGACAGCAAAGGTAAAAACAATATGTCTCCCAAAGATTTTGGGAAACATAATTATGTCATAACAGTTCTTATTAATTACATTATATAAATACCTATAACCTAATTAGAATTTTAATGATATCAGCTTAAGTTTCACACAGTGAACCTACCTTTGTGTCTGTTGTACACAGTCCACGAGAACTGTATTGAAGCCAGCATCTACACGTACATTGGTAAGATTGCCTTAAACATGCCAACATTCTGAACTACAGTCTGTAAGCTACTGAAATATACATGTATAATGTTATGTAATGTCACTTGTAACTTTTGTATGGTAACAGGTCAGTTTGGACCATGGACATTTCTGGCCAGATTCAAGGACAATCCGCACTTCATTTTGGAACACTCCAGACCAGATTACAATGATTTTCATTGACATAGAATGTTTATTTTACTTTTTTAAGTCAGCAATTTAAAAACCTGCTATAATAGATATGCCACTGAACTTGAACACAAACCAAAGCACAATTTGTTAACTGTAAGTGTTGGCTTTTATTTCATGTACATATTGACATATCATTTATTATTAATAAATATTGACTTATATTGTTCTTTAAGCTTGCCAAAATGAGAATGTATGAATGTTTAGTAACTTTGAAGATATGTTAACAATGAGTCCTTCAACAGTTGCGTCTTTTGTTATGGTGTATAATTATAATGATCCCCTATGAATAGACTTACAATGTACTCTAGAATTAAGAATATTTTGGGTCTTTCCAGCTAATCTGGGGACACAAACAAACTTTTACAGTTACAGCTTCGAAAATGAACGGAACAGGTTGATTAATCTATTGTGACCTGTATTCACCTTGAAGCTATAATGGTAAATTTAAAAATGATACCGGGTACAGGACGTTAATTAGGATGTTCAGATATCTTGTAGGTATGAGGTGACTTGTGATCACATAGAGGAAATTATACTGTATTTTGTAAAGAAATGTAACTTATAAGAGATAATTGGAGTCTGCAGCTGTCTTGGGTGGACCAACCAAAAATTATGTCCAACACTACATTGGAACTCATAATAAAAACATTTCTAGCCACAGCTCTTTGTCTAGGTTTCTCAAGAGTTTAACGGCTTGAGTGTTAAATTACTTCAGAGTAAAACGTCCGATATTCACATCAGCCGCATCAGACAAAAATACTGTATCCGAACTAGAAACGTCCGGATATGATACTACCTGGTTAAACACACTTAACAATGGAAGTGTATCAGTTATTATCCATTATAATTATGAAACATTACAGAAAAAAATTTAAGAAGAAAAAGGCAATGAACATACGTTTGTTGATTATTTTGTAGTAGCTTTTATAACAAATTCATAAAAGTTATACCTTGGAGGCAGTACACAGTTTTGGCTGTTTAGTTTCGAATTGGCCAGGGTGGAATTTACAAATAAGAGACAGTTTTGAAATTGATGTGGATATTTGAGGTTCTAAATGTTTATAGTTACTATATTTCAAGTTTCAATGACTAGTATTGTGTTTCAGTTATTTAGTAAAATTGAATTTAGTGGCGTTAACCCTTGCTTTTTTGAGAGAGCACCTGTCGGATGCGAACATGTGGTTTTTGGAGCTAGGCGGTGTATCAGCTCTTCAATTTAAAGGGTATGCAGAAGACTTAAAATAGTGAAAAAAGTAGGTGCATGACTCCCCGTTTGGATGTTATTTTCAGATTGTGCATTGTTTAAGAAGGAAGAATCACTATAGCTTGTGATTTAATCTTTTGACGTTAATATATTGTTGTATTTTGCGAATAGGGGTAATCCGCTATTTTTGTCGTTGATTTTCGCGACCAAAACAATGAAAAACACAGGGCTATGTGCCAGAAAACTAGAAGGTGGACATGTATTTTTAATTGTTTGCTGTGAGATACATATGTATATGTTAAATATCAAATGCATTTATTTCAGGTGTGTGATTACAGACTTGTGTGTGAGGTTTTGATTGTGGCGCAGTCAGTTGTTTGCCGAGAAGCCTTGAAAACTGTGTATTGCCCCCCTTTGTTGTTGTTGTTGTTGTTTCTTTTGAGAATGACTAAAACTTTCACGGATTGAATCGTTATCGTCACCAGGTAGTAGCGCACCAGGTCAGACTATATCATTTTTTTCAAATCGCAACGGTCTGACCAAGCGGCAGTATGGGTCATTTTAACTACTGACCTAGTAAATGCTTAGAAACTAACAATTATGCTGCCCATTGTTGAGTTGTGAAGGTCAATGATTTCAAAGCCACTTGTCTTTCACAGCTGTACACATATATATAGCTTCTTATTACATGTTACTTTGGCTTCTTTCATGTCTCATACTGGTGTCACTGACAAGACTACACAATAAAGTAAACAAGCTTTGTTTTATACTCTTGACACTGGTAAGACTACACAATAAAGTAAACAAGCCCTGTTTTATACTAGAGACACTGACAAGATTACATGACAATTACGATAAGCAAAGCCTCATTTTATACTGGTGAAATTGGCAAGACAATGTAAACAAGCCTTGTTTTATTCTGGTGAAACTCGAAGTCTACAAGATAATGTAAGCTAGCCTTGTTTTATATAGGTGACACTGGCAAGTCTACATGATAAGGTAAGCAAGTCTTGTTTTATGCTGGTGACGCTGGCAAGACTACAAGACAAGGTAAGCAAGTCTTGTTTTATACTGGTGACACTGGCAAGACTACATGATAAGGTAAGCAAGTCTTGTTTTATACTGGTGACACTGGCAAGACTACAAGACAATGTAGGCAAGTCTTGTTTTATACTGGTGACATTGGCAAGACTACATGACAAGGTAGGCAAGTCTTGTTTTATACTGGTGACACTGACAAGACTACAAGACAATGTAGGCAAGTCTTGTTTTATACTGGTAACACTGACAAGACAATGTAAGCAAGCCTTGTTTTATACTGGTGACACTGACAAGACTACAAGACAATGTAGGCAAGTCTTGTTTTATACTGGTAACACTGACAAGACTAAAAGACAAGGTAAGCAAGCCTTGTTTTATACTGGTGACACTGGCAAGACTACATGACAATGTAGGCAAGTCTTGTTTTATACTGGTGACACTACAAGACAATGTAAGCAAGTCTTGTTTTATACTGGTGACACTGGCAAGACTACAAGACAAGGTAAGCAAGTCTTGTTTTATACTGGTGACACTGGCAAGACTACAAGACAAGGTTAGCAAGTCTTGTTTTATACTGGTGACACTGGCAAGACTACAAGACAAGGTCAGCAAGTCTTGTTTTATACTGGTGACACTGGCAAGACTACAAGACAAGGTAAGCAAGCCTTGTTTTATACTGGTGACACTGGCAAGACTACAAAACAAGGTTAGCAAGTTTTATACCGGTGACACTGGCAAGACTACAAGACAAGGTCAAAACAAGGTTAGCAAGTTTTATACCGGTGACACTGGCAAGACTACAAGACAAGGTAAGCAAGCCTTGTTTTATACTGGTGACACTGGCAAGACTACAAGACAAGGTAAGCAAGTCTTGTTTTATACTGGTGACACTGGCAAAGACTACAAGACAAGGTAAGCAAGTCTTGTTTTATACTGGTGAAACTGGCAAGACTACAAGACAAGGTAAGCAAGCCTTGTTTTATACTGGTGACACTGGCAAGACTACAAGACAAGGTAAGCAAGTCTTGTTTTATACTGGTGACACTTGCAAGACTACATGACAAGGTAAGCAAGTCTTGTTTTATACTGGTGACACTGGCAAGACTACAAGACAAGGTAAGCAAGTCTTGTTTTATACTGGTGACACTGGCAAGACTACAAGACAAGGTAAGCAAGTCTTGTTTTATGCTGGTGACACTGGCAAGACTACAAGACAAGGTAAGCAAGTCTTGTTTTATACTGGTGACACTGGCAAGACTACAAGACAAGGTAAGCAAGCCTTGTTTTATACTGGTGACACTGGCAAGACTACAAGACAAGGTAAGACAAGGTAAGTCTTGTTTTTATACTGGTGACACTGGCAAGACTACAAGACAAGGTAAGCAAGCTTTGTTTTATACTGGTGACACTGGCAAGACTACAAGACACTGTAAGCAAGCCTTGTTTTATACTGGTAACATTGACAAGACTACAAGACATTGTAAGCAAGCCTTATTTTATACTGGTAACACTGACAAGACTACAAGACACTGTAAGCATGCCTTGTTTTATACTGGTGACACCGACAACACTACATGACAAGGTAAGCAAGCCTTGTTTTATACTGGTGATGCCGGCAACACTACAAGACAAGGTAAGCAAGCCTTGTTTTATACTGGTGACACTGGCAAGACTACAAGACAATGTAAGCAAGACTTGTTTTATACTGGTGACACTGGCAAGACTACAAGACAAGGTAAGCAAACCTTGTTTTATACTGGTGACACTGGCAAGACTACAAGACAAGGTAAGCAAGTCTTGTTTTATACTGGTGACACTGGCAAGACTACAAGACAAGGTAAGCAAGCCTTGTTTTATACTGGTGACACTGGCAAGACTACAAGACAAGGTAAGCAAGCCTTGTTTTATACTGGTGACACTGGCAAGACTACAAGACAAGGTAAGCAAGCCTTGTTTTATACTGGTGACACTGGCAAGACTACAAGACAAGGTAAGCAAGTCTTGTTTTATACTGGTGACACTGGCAAGACTACATGACAAGGTAAGCAAGCCTTGTTTTATACTGGTGACACTGGCGACACTACAAGACAAGGTAAGCAAGCCTTATTTTATACTGGTGACACTGGCAAGACTACAAGACAAGGTAAGCAATACAAGACAAGGTAAGCAATCCTTATTTTATACTGGTGACACTGGCAAGACTACAAGACAAGGTAAGCAAGCCTTGTTTTATACTGGTGACACTGGCAAGACTACAAGACAAGGTAAGCAAACCTTGTTTTACACTGGTGGCACTGGCAAGACTACATGACAATGTAAGCAAGCCTTGTTTTATACTGGTGACACTGGCAAGACTTCAAGACAAGGTCATTAATTTTTATTTTTTGTATAAAACGACTTTGTACATTGTTTTTTTATCACATCATTCACTTTCATGTTTTAATATTAATTTGATCCAATTGAAAGAGGTTAAGGGTTTTTGTTTCTTTTATTTAAATAGTTTATTATTTGATAAAAAATATCAAGTGAAAATAAAACATTCCATAACTGAAACATGTCAATTGAATATACAAGCAAATCCATCAATCTGAAATACCTTTTTTACTATTCAGAATTAAACACTTTTTCATTCAAAACATATAAAGAAAATTGAAAGAGAAAATCTTAGTAAAGTTGTAAAGGAAATGAAATAGAATATAAATTAGCAGAAAATTTCAAGAACTGAGCTGGATAATTTATATACTGAAGATAGGTCTTCTTCACTTGAATAAAATGTTTTTGAAATTAATGATTGGGAAAGAAATTTAAAACTAGACAGGTTCCCCCCCCCCCCACAAAAATTTGTCTCCCATGTATGTACTCTCAGGACGGAACAGTGGTGTGTAAATCCCACCAGTAGTTTGACTTGTGAAAGCCACACAATTTTTTGAAAATATATATTTGAGCCGTGTCATGACAAGATTAACATAAGTGCGTTTGCGACCAGCATGGATCCAGACCACCCTACGCATCTGCGCAGATCAGGATCCATGCTGTTCGCAAATGCACTATGTTGGTTTTGTCAGGACGCGGCTCATTTGAACAATTTTCTTTTTTATTTCTGGTCTGAAAACTTAATTACAAGAAATGTACAGTTCTCAGAATAGGGGCACCAAGAAGTCAACATGATCTAATTTTAATGCAGAAAAAAAAATACAAAATTCAAAAACTTCAAAACAAAGTAAACATGCAGTACTCTATATTTATGGCACTGGCAGTTATCATCAGTGGGTGAAAATGGATACATTTTTTTAAAATAAAAAACAAGAGTGCCATAATGACCCTGAATATCTCACCTGAGATACAGTGCTAGAAAAAAAGTCACAATTCTTCAATGCAAAAAAACAAACAAACAGTTATTAGGCCACATTAGCTAATCATAATTGATACAAGATGTACTTTTTTTTACAATCTTTGTAAATGCCCACTAGGAAATACTACCTGCCAAAATTAAAAGCTCTAGGCATGGTTATTTCACATAAGACATAGATGTGTTTTATTATGAAGTAGCAACAGACGTACCTTTAGTTGATGCAAATGTTGAAGAAACAGGACTGGTGTAATCAAAGACATTGTACCAGAAATAGAAGAACCTGCAGAAATTACAGAACCAATAGATTCTAAAGCAGCAGAATCAGTGGTTGAAGATGAGACGATAGAAGAGGAAAGAGAGGTACAATCTGATCATCTAGAAGAACTTCACTTAATAGAAGAACAAGAAGACTCAGATGTAACATGTAGTGTAGCAGAGGCAGAAAATGAAACCACCATTCCAGAAAAGTTTAGCTGAGAGTAACACAGATGAGCTAATGGCAGAAGATACAAGTATATAATATAGGACATTGCAAGAGATAGATGGAGAAAAAGTAAAGAAACAGCAGACAGAAGGAATTAGAGTGAAGAAACGAAATTGAAAATTACCACAACAACCAACTAGAAAATCAGAGAGAACAAAGAGAATACCCGACAGATATAAAGATTATCACATGCATAGCATTATCAATTTCCCAACAGATATAAAGATTATCACATGCATAGCATTATCAACAGTAGACCATATGATCATAGATTTTCAGCATTGGAATCCATGATTGCCTCAGGTGTGTTGAAGAAAGGGGAATGTTTGCTTCCATGAAATGTTGCTTAATATATTTTAACTGACAGACTATTTGACATGACAATGACGGGATGTCATTTTCTCAAAGCAGGGAAGTGTGTAACCAAAGGGAAATAATCAATTGTAGGTTATTGATTGAAATCTGTAGGACTGATTTCCCTTGGCTGTTGTATTAACTAGTCATGCATGTAATTGTAATCAAGTCTATGCTACTAACACAACAACGTTTAGTTAACCTACTATTGGTCATTTCTTGTTTGAAGACCGTTGCATTTCATGGAAAAATGTCTCGTGAACCGAAGGATATTGAGCAAACCGCCCAGTTAACAGTTTCTCTATTGATGCCTCAGTTAGACGAATTGAAGGACATGGTAAGAGCATGTACCAAGTAAGAAGATCTCCAAACTTTAAAAACTAACTTACTTGTCACTCAGTATAAGGTAGACAGTGGGGAACAATATTCGAGGCGTGAAAATATACGTATTAACAATTTCTCCGCAAACTGGGATCTCATCAATGCTGTCGTCGAGCTAATGAATGTCATGATTAACCTAGATCCAGAGTTTCAAAGTTGTGCAACAGATGATGGGCACGGTGAGACAATATCTGTCTGATGACGAATCTCCTCAGTCTCAATCTATTCTTGTGGACAATGTAAGGAACCCGACTTCAAAAGTTTTGATCCCTCAATTCAACAGATCTGATATAAGTCAGATTGTCACTACACCACCCCAAGAAAAAACAAATCATTGTAAGATTTGTCTCACGTCAATCAGTTAAATTGGTGTACAAGTACAAAAAGAACCTGAAGTTATCATCCCATCCTTTAATTAAAGGTGTATACATCATGGACGATATCACACCGTTCAGATAACGTTTGAAGTCTGTTGGAGTTGAGAAGACTTATTTCCGTGATGGAACTTATGTTCACTGTCGCTTTAAAAACAATAATTTTGTTTTAACATCTCCAGATGATATTTTTAATAAACTAAAGGTGAATGTATCCGAAGATATGCTCCGAGAACTTGGCCTAGAGAACTATCTATAGGATGCTGTGGGGAATGGGTCAAATTTCGACCAGAATAGTGTAGAGGATGCGAAATTTAATGACGATTCACAGAACTGTACCTCAAGTGTTCTTCACGAATGTATTTCTGATAGTATATCTCCTCACAATGTATTATTTGATCATGCTTATCATATTTCTAGTGAAAATTCAGTATTAAAACTAGCTTATGTAAATGTATGTGGTATTATCTCGAAGTTGCGTAATCCAGACTTTATTTCTTTTATTCATGAGTACGATATTGTTCACTTTGCTGAAACAAAAATTAGATTGTTTTGATGACCCTATTGTTTATGGGTATGCTTTTATGGGAAAGACTCGAGATATTTATACAAAAAAAATCTGGCGGTGTTGGTATCTTTGTTAAAAATTCTCTTGTGAATAATTTACAAATCTTGGAGTTAAGTAATGAAAATTGTTTTTGGTACAAACTTAAAGATTCTAATAATATATTTGCTGTCATATACATACCTCCCGAGGGTTCTAGATATAAGCTCTTTAGTAAGTGATATTTTAGATTGTAATGTAGTAATTTAGTTGTGAATGTACAATTTGATAATCCCCCTTTTACTTTATTTGGGGACTTTAACGCTAAGACTAGCAAATTGTCTGATTATGTTATATTTGATAGATATGTTGCTGAACAGAACTTTGATAATAATGTAGATCATAACCTTATGCATATTATATGCCTTGGTTTTGAATAAAATCTTGAAATCTTGTTCCCGCCATTTTCTGAGTTGTCACAATTTTGTAAAAGGCAGACATGTTTTTCAGTTGTTTATAAGTTGATTATTAATTCTTTAAAAGGATTGTGGATTTTAGATTGAGGTTGATGTTATTCGAGTCCAATCCACAATTGGTATGTATAATTGTACATGACATATTATTGTTTTTACTATTTTATAAGTTTACTATATATTCATTTAATAGGCCACTGGGTAAAATGATTAAATATTGAATATAATGCAGAAAACTGTACTTGGAAATGTTCATTCATTAACAGGGACTACCTTGGATTGAAAATTTAGGGAGAAGTGACTTCTCCCTTCAGGAAAAATAGGGAGAAGTTTTGAAATTTAGGGAGAAGTGATCATCAAATCGAGTTATTATCATTGGATTTTTTTTCTAATTTTATTTCACAAAATATACATGTACACCTTTATATGTACATGCATATAAAATATACATGTATATGGCATGGAAAATAAACAAATGTGTATTTGAAAATCGCTATGATGAGATTTAATGAAGTACTAGTTGCATTTGATTTACATATAACATTTTTTAAATTTTTTTTTAGGTTCAACAGTTTCTGACTCTAACTTTTAAATGCAATTTATTAAGAAGAAAAGTTCTTTAATTCATAATAATTATCCAAATTCTATCAATTTACATCAGTTTTAATGATGAATATTACTATCATAAATGTAATGGTGATAACAAATGTATATGGGATATTGTAAACCAAATAGGACATATAGAGGAAATGGTAAATCAAACAGGACATATAGGGGAAATAGTAAATCGAACAAGACATATTGGAGAACTAGTAAATCAAACAGAACGTTTAGGGAATATTGTGAAACAAACAAAACGTACAGGGATATTGTAAATAAGACACAAATATACGTTTGAGGTAACTTAATTATCAATTAGCTAGCTTTTTATCAGCTGCTGCATTCATATCAGGGTCTTTCACAGCTTTAATTTACCGTATAATCAATGCGCTATTTTAAGCGAAGTGTGAATTCCAAATGTCGCTATGGCCACGCTTCAGCGCGTGTGCTAATTAAGTCAGATTACACAATTAAATCTGCCTCCAGGCAGTATTATCGAGTGGAGAAATATACATGTTAGACATTTCATAGAGATTTTAGGGCGACTAGAATTTCGCTTTTCAGATCATACAGGGCGAAGTGAAAATATTTACGGCGAAGTTTTCGCCTGACTTCGCCCTGAACGCAGTCCCTGATTAATTTAGAAGTAATTAATTGATGTAATGGTTTAATGACTTTTATATTGGCTATTTAATGTAAGATGTATGTTATTATCATGCTATGACTTAAATTGTATCTATTGTGTTGTGTTAATGATCTCAGTATGTACATAGATGAGCCGCGTCACGACAAAACTAACGTAATGCGTTTGCGACCAGCATGGATCCAGACCAGCCTGCGCATCCGTGCAGTCTGATCAGGATCCATGCTGTTCGATATCAGTTTCTCTACTTGTTATAGAGTTTGTAAGCAGACAGCATGGATCCCAATCAGACTGCGCAGATGTGCAGGCTGGTCTGGATCCATGCTGGTGGCAAAGGCATTATGTTGGTTTTGTCATGACGCAGCTCATATTCAATATTGCTATATTTGTTTGTTTCAGGGCTTGATCTTCTTGATACTGATATGATATAGATATATATTCGGATTGGAGTATTCATAATTGATTGGTACTTAATCAAGTGCTTGATGTTGTGATGTGACTTTTACGTCATGGGTTAAATCTACTTGTAGCTTATTATATATACTGAGATCATACACTGATGGACATTTCAATTAAAAGAATTGAAGGAACTTGGCCTTGTTTATATTTTATACCTTTACATCTTAAAGGGCATAATTTTAAACAAGGTAACAAGTCTATTCAAACTATATGACACTAAGCTCAGACCTTTTTAAAGTCAAATTGCATGATTATGTCACTTTTTTTTAAAGACCCATTAGGTGATGCTACATGACAAATATCTAAGCTTTGGGTCATGTAGTTTCTTAAAAGATTTTTTTATTATTTACTTTTAGCTCTCCTACATTAGAATGGAACCATTTATATTATAACATTTATAAACAACTACCTAAGGAAGTTTGGTCAAAAATCCATCCATTGACAGTTTGGAGATGTAATTTCAAACAAGAGCACTGCATGCAGTAGTAATGCTTATCTGTTAAGGGCAAAAACTATTGATATCTAATTTTGACAAAATGCAAAAATGGTCACAAAGCTTTCAGAGTTATGCCCCTCGTTCAACAACAGCACCTTGCCATGATAAACAGGTATTCCAATATAATGTTGAAAGGATTTAAAATGTTTGCATAATAGGTTTCAGTTTTTGCATGACACATGCCAATCATAATTAAGCTCTACTTCTTTAAATTTTTAAGAAACAGATACGCTAAAAATTGTGGATAAGACGGAGGACGGCCATTGCCATCACAAAAGCTAACCTTGAAGCAATTTGTGCTCAGGTAATCTAATAAAAACACTAACAAAAACACTGTCAAACAGTTTAAATGATTGCCCTTTTTCCTTTTAATATATTGACGATCTTTTCGGAGTTCCTGAACCATTCCTTATCACTATGTTCTTTTGTTAAACAATTTTCTCTTAGTTTAATGTCACTGTCTGTGGCTACATCTTTTAGTAAAGTAAACATATGTGGTAGATGTTTTATAAAAGCTTCTTTCCAGGACCCATGTAAGTACATTTCTAACAGAATGCTGTGTACACAATAGGCTCTCAAATCAATATTCGGTGCACTGAAATAAGAAAACAGAAGATACATGTCTTATGTCTAATATGAATGTACAATTCGTAAAACACAAAAAAACTTCTTGCAGCTAATTTTAATTTCGGGTACACAAGTTTTTGTATAAGAGGTACAAATCGGGTACACAAGTTTTAATATAAAAGGTTTTTGTTTTTGTTTTGTTTGTTTTGGGTTTTACGTCACATCAACACAGTATAGGTCAAACGCGACGTTCCAGCTTTACTGGTGGAGGAAGACCTCAGGTGCCCTTCCGTGCATTATTTCAGGCACGAACGGGCACCTGAGTAGAACCACCGACGTTCCGTAAGCTAGCTGGATAGCTTCCTCACATGAAAGAATCCAAAGTCCCTGTCGGGATTCGAACCCACAGCGGTGAGGGGCAAGTGGTTTGAAGTCAACGACCTTAACCACTCGGCCACGGACGCCCCTAAAATAAAAGGTACAAATGGGGGCACTTCTAAGAGTTAGATTCAAAGACTGGCAAGCTAACTTCTCAAGATATGTCCATTGAAAGAAGACATTCTTCCTGTTGAAAAAAATACAGTTAAGACATTGAAAATATATATTTAGTTAAAAATTTTGTTTCTAAATGAGCCGCGTCACAACAAAACCAACATAATGGGTTTGCGACCAGCAAGGATCCAGACCAGCCTGCGCATCCGCACAGTCTGATCAGGATCCATGCTGTTGGCTATCAGTTTCTCTACTTGTTATAGGATTTGTAAGCGAACAGCATGGATCCTGATCAGACTGCGCGGATGCGTAGGCTGGTCTGGATCCATGCTGGTCGCAAACCCATTATGTTGGTTTTGTCGTGACGCGGCTCAAATGTATTTTTTTCCTCTATTGAGTCTTATGTCACACCAACTCTGTAAAGGTTATATGGCCACTTTCCAGTTTTACTGATGGAAGAAGACCTTGGGTGCCCCTTCATGCATTTTTTCAGGCAGGAATGTACACCTGAATCAATTATAAGTTAAAGGCACAGTATGACACGGAAATAAAATGGTTTTCATGAATTTTATAATGTTTTAATGGTTTCAGAGCATTTCTCGAAGAAATTTATGCTAAATGTGAAATAATTTGTCATGATTTGTCATGTGAAATAGCATTAAATTTTGAAGCATTAAGTTTGAAAAAACATTTTTTCAAAGAACTATTTTCAAAGTATTCCATACATACAAATTGGATAAAAAGTTTCATTAAAATTATAGTTGAAGCAACATGACCAAAAATAAGGAACTGGACAAAGGGATACATAGACTTACAACGCCATTTCCATACCCCCTTTTTCTTATTTTATCAGCGGGGGCTACATGTAATAATAGAAATGAGCCGCGTCACGACAAAACCAACATAATGTGTTTGCGACCAGCATGGATCCAGACCAGCCTGTGCATCGGCGCAGTCTGATCAGGATCCATGCTGTTTGCTTACAGACCCTATAACAAACAAGATATGTTTGTAAAACATGTATGCCCCCTATCAGCAGCCAATTATTCATGTGATAAGGTAATTATTCATGACTTTTGACACAGTGATCAAACAATTTAATAAGGGTTATCAAGTATCTACTGGTCATGACCTTGACTCCTT